AGCCGCCGCCGCGCGCGCCTCGTCCCGGGGCCTCGGGCTCCCATTGGCTGAGAGGAGGCTCCGCGTGGGGCCGCGGCCCGCAGCTCTCCCGCAGCGCGCGCAGACCCCGCGTGTTCAGGACCCTTCCTCCACTCCTCTCCCCGGAGCGGGGGTCTGCGGGTCAGCAGGGAACGCAAACCGAGGCCTCAGCCGCCCTGTGCGGAGCGTGGGTGGAACGGGAGGTGTTTGACGTCCGCCCACCCGGCTGCGTTAGGATGACCTGCCCTCTGGGCGCAGCGGCTGGAAAATCTCACTGTCCTCGCTTCTTGCCTCTCCTTCACCTCACAGGAGAATCCTCTTTTTGAGTCAGCGTTGGTACCAAGCAAGCTGACCTTTCAACACCCGCTTGAGGTCTCGATGCGTCAGGGTTTGAGGCCAGGTGAAATGCTGTCGGGCTGGAGGCATTCATTTTTAGCGAAAGGGAAGGGACCAGCCTGGCACCCAACCTACCATATTCAAATCGTGTTGTGGAATTCCCTTTTCCAGGCTTGTCTTACATTCCACATCCTTGAAAACACTGTCAGAAGGTGGAGAAAGAGCGCGAGTGAGGGCTGTCTGGAGAGTTTTAGAACAGCGGGGAGCCGTGCCCTTACCCTTTCCTCCAGTCCACATTATGGCCCTCATGGAGATTTTGGTCAGGGCTACAACCGAAGACAGATTTTAAAAACATACTTATTAAACACCTACCCTGTGGCCAGTAAGTACTATGGGAAATCACAAAGACAAGATCCCTTCCTTCAGTACACAAACCAGCCATGGAGAGGAGTCTAAAAATAATTTGAGATTATTGGTAAAGAGGAGTATGGAATCCAGCCAGGTCTTTGTTGGAGCCAAAGAGAATTCGGAAGCAGAATGCTATGGTGCCTGGCAGTTTAGGAAGGGTAGTTAACCAGTGCCCTGCAGTCTCTGGGAGAAAGAACTCTGCAGGCAAGTGGGACATGCTTAGCTGTGGGACCAGAAAGCCCTGCCTTGCCTAGTCAGTGACAAGAAATGTTTTGGAGAGGCATCACCTGCTCCTTAGAGGACTTATGAAATGTTTGTAAATTCTCAGGTGGACAGATCACCTTAGTGGGTGCCAAAATCCAGACTTACTCAAGAAGAAGATCTTTTTACTTGTTTTATCTTCATATAAAGGATTCAATTTGCTGCATATCTCCTATATCAGCCTAGAGCAATAAAAGCTCACTAAAATTCACATTCTATCCCATTTATTCCTTTACTCAACAAATATTTATTGAGTGAACACCATGTACTAGTAAGCCACATTGTAATTTTTAGAGTCAAGTTGATGATAGGGTGTAGTTACTGATCCAGAAATAGTTGGGCCAATGGCTAATGGCCTCTGGGAAATGCAGAGCCTTCATCCAAGCCCACTTTATTCTGTGAGTTTCTCCAGGAGGGGTCCTACAGCATTCATTGTTGTACTCCCACCATTGGGCCTGGTACATGAGATCCTAGTTTTGAACACAGTTTATTGAGTGAATTAACATGATGAGGAACATTCTGAGCAGATATCTAAGTGGCCTAAATGATGAAATTAGAGAAGTGATTTCTTTTTCAGAGGACTAGAGGAGGGAGAGAAAGCAATCTCAGGACTGGGAGAGTAGAGAACATTAATACTCTAGGCTGATTTTAGTGGTATATGTTTCAAGGAAGTTGTTGGGTTTGTCAGTGGCATGTTTTTTTTTTTTCATTGAAAAATATATATTGAACTTTTATTATGAGTTAAAAAGTGGGGAATAAAACTGAGCTAAATTGTAGCGGAGCTCACAGCCTGGTTGAGAAACAGAAAGTGAGCAGGCAATTACAATACAGAGTGATTAATGGGGGAGTTGCAGCATGCCACGAACCACATAGGATGATTACGTAATCTAGTTTGGGAGTGGGGGTCACTTGAATGTTGCCATCATTATTACTCTAGGGATCCAGCACTGTCCAGGCAGGCATTCAGATGAAGCATTTAGAGGGGAACTCAGAGTATTCTGTTCCTATGGTCTAAGAACACTAGGCCAACCATTTTCAAATCCAAGGCACAATTTTAGGGCCTGAGTGGTGTCGTATCTCCTTTGTGTAATCTAAGGCCTTTGGGGTCATTCTGATACTTCTGAAGCAAAGGAGACTTGTTTCCAGGGGTTAGTTGATCCAGCTGAAGAATTAGACTTTACATGAACAGACATTTGAGTGGCTATTTTGTGCAGGCATTATGAACTTTCATGCACTGAGACCCTTGTGTGTGCCCGAGTGAGTTCGTTCTTTCTTACTTTCCCCCCC